TGTGCTGCGTTTCACTTACGAGATGGAAAAGGATGGGAAGCTGCCCTTTCTAGATGTAACAGTCATGGAAAAGAGCGGAGGTTTCCACACTGCAGTCTACACTAAGGAAACGAACATAGGAATGTGCCTAAATGCCAACAGCGACTGCCCAGACAGGTACAAGAGGAGTGTTGTTAACACATATGTCGACTGTGCTCTCAGCCACAGCTCAGAATGGAAGCAAGTCGACGAAGAACTCTGTAGGGTAAGGCAGGTCCTAGTCAACAACGGTTTCTCCAATGGTTTCGTCGAAGACATCATAAGAAGGAAAGTGAAACGCCATGCAACCTCTGAAGAGACAACTAACACAACACCTATACCCCCTATTAGACTAATTTACAGGAACTTCTTTTCCACAGCTCATAAAACGGAGGAAAGGGTCCTGAAAGATATTGTTAATAGAAACGTTATCCCTACAGACAAAAATCAGAGGATACAACTGACGATTTACTATAAAACCAGAAAAACGGCCAGCCTACTAATGAGAAACTCTCCAGACACAAAGCAGAACGCTTTAAGGGGCCGTCTGGTTATTATAATGAAAGTTGTTCAATGTCAACCAATATTATTTTTCTAGTTGTATATGAAAAGTGCTTAAATTGTCCCAAGTTTCAGTACTGCAGCGTAAATAGAAAGGGAGTTTTTTTTTTTTTTTTTTTTTTTTTAATGTTTTTTTACACATTTTCAAGTCCACACTTCAGAACACACGTTTCAGATAAAATTATTCTGTGACACTTTTCTGATACATTAACATATAATAAAGGATTTGGGGATTTAGAATTTCCAAAACATCATTAGTTTTCCTAATACAAATGTTCAGTTCCCCAAAAATTTTTTGCAAATATGGCATGTTTATTGCTATTATAAAATCAATAAATGAACTCAAGAGAAAAATGAAAGCCCCCAATGTAGAGACATGCCCTCCACATATACTGTGTAAGTTTCATGTAAATTGAATAAAAAAGGAATCAGTTTTGTAAACGTTTGTGTCAATTGAAAAAAAACAAATGAATAAAGTCTAAGGTTCTAAAATCTGTGGCTGGGGTTGACATCAACCAATTTTCTCCAAAATTGGCATCCTTACAGATAGGCTTACGTACAGTCAGGTGTGTAAGTTTGATGCAAATCGCCAAAAAAAAAAAAAAAAAAAAAAAAAAAAAAAAAAAAAAAAAAAAAAATTTTTTTCTTAAAATTTTTTTCCAATTAAACTAATTATAATATTTGTTTAATATATACTATTGTGATAGCAAAGGGTCGTAGTTATGATTTCAGTTGACACTTTTGATTGCTAATCGATTTTGACCATTTTTGCATAATTTTCACAACTACTTCAATATTTTTTTTCTCCCTTCCTATTTATGCTACAATGCTGAAACTTGGACCAGATGAAACACTTTTCATATAGAACTTGTCAAAAAAGTTTGATTGAAATCGAATGAGTTTTCATTTTTGCATTTTTGGACCCAGATGCCAACCAGATGCCCCCTTAAAAGAGACCAACGTCGTCTATGCCTTCAAATGCCCACTTGGGGACTGTAAGCTCCAAAAAACCCAGTATATAGGCAAGACAACAACATCTCTTTCTAGGCGTTTAACGATGCATAAGCAACAGGGCTCCATTAAGGAACATATAATCTCTTCCCACAACCAAACCATCGCCAGAGAAATCCTAGTAAACAACACAGAAATCATCGATAGATACAGCGATAGCAGACGGCTTGACGTTTGCGAGGCACTGCACATTAAGAAGTCAACACCAGCAATCAACAGCCAATTAATGCACAACTATATTCTACCCACCTCAAGACTCCGCTCCAATTTAGAAGCATCAAGAAATATGGACCAATATTTGTTTTTAAAGTCTTGCCATTGTTTGAATGCTGTAAGGTTTCTTCACTGTGGCATACCTGACTCATGCCGTCACTCTACATAGTTGCCAGCTTTTGTTATAAGCATATGTTTTGACAAGTACAATACTACTGTACTTGTTTCTCATGTCTGAGCAGTGAAACTTTCAGGTCAAATAAGGTACCTGCCATTCTTCACATTTACATATTGGGAAGACACTTCATCTTTCATAGTTTTGTTTGTTTACCATTACAAGTGGTTTAGTAAAAATTATCAGATTGGATGCAACTCATCAAAGGCAGCAGGAATGAGTTTACAATGGAAAAAGCAATGTGCTTTTTAAATAGCAAAATGAAATTACCAAGAACAGATTATACTTACTTGTTGGTTAATATTACAAGTGCAAGAACAAGAAAAAGGGTCCCTTTATTACAAATTGTTTACTGATAAGTGTCAAAGTACACCTCCCCACTACCTCCACTGATCAGTATGTATTGGAATAACAAGAAATGTACATCTTGCAATTATCAACAGTTCATTAATAGTATATGCAGTATCATAGTTATATTAAATATATTTGTATAAATTAGTTTTGAACTACTAAAGCTAATAAAAATTCCATTGGTAATTTACAATATCTGTGTGCTTGTTTGAGATAAATAAAAGTGCACAATGTTCTAATAATACCATCTAATAATGGAAAAGAAGTAATTATCAAAGTAAATCTAAAATGTCAAAATACAACTTTCATTGTTTGCTATATGATAAGAAATATATTAAGGAATATATTAAGAATGTCACCAAAATTGAGGAGAGGAATAATGTATATGGTGAATATTACACACAGCATACAAAGTACTATTATATTTTGGCCAAGAATTCACAAAAAGCACAGAAGAAAACCTTTAGCTAAGTCTACAACTGAAGCAATACAGAAGAGGACCCGTTACCACAACAATGTCTACGGTATCATCAATTTGTATTAAGAAAAGGGTTAAGGAATAAAGCAAATAGCTTCTATGCCTTGATCATACTGATGAGGACAAAATTTGGTCCACAATACAAAAAACTTTACAATATCTGGAGTTCTATTTTTTTTTTCATGTAAGTTCAACTATGTATATAGGAGGACAAACTTTATGCATTTATTTCTGCAGACAAGCTAGGCAAGGCTGGAGAAGCAATGCTGCACTGTGCACAATACACACATGGAATCAAGGCCTCTGGAAAAAGCATACCCTTTCATGGTTGGTAGTTTCCATGCTACATACTACAGGAAACATTTTTGGTTGGGTATCATCCCAAGTTATTACAAATGTAACAAGAGTGTGGCTTCACCCATTGCATTATGTCTAATGTAAACAAGTGAAACCAACACAATCCCTCTCCTATTATTAGTATCAGCTTTGGAGATACATACATTCAAATACACAAAGTCCAAAAGTAGGTAGATCAAAAAAGAAGGCACATGCTAGTAATGAGCAATTAATCCAGAGCAACCCAAATAAAGAGGAAGAAACTATATTTTATATGCATGTAACTATTTTTGAATATGTATATACTATTATGTTAACAACTCCTACAAATTAGAAACCTGAAACTCGCAAGCACATTCCTGATAATGTCATACTCCAAACACAAAACTCTAAAAGAATGTATCTGGAGATTCGTATTTCTAATTTCTAGTAGGCACCTGTATACAAGTGAATCATGTGCATTATATGACATTTCCCTGTATGTGTATACATCACTTATTTGTTCACTGCCATACTATATACAGTATATATTGCTCAAACATTATTCCATAGCCATTATCAATAATACACTTTCAATTCCATGTCATCATTATTTTCAAATATCGAGTAATGTGGTAAACAATATACCATACAGTACAGCATAGTATGTTAATTAATCATAATAAAGTTTGAGACGCTACTAAAATTCATTTATCATTTATCAGTGCTAAACCATTTTACTAACACCATCCTTTTCATAATTTTTTTATAAAGAATATTCAAACAAGTATTAAGAATGTTACCAGAAAACATCAATATATATATCCCAAAAAATTATTGTATATTCCAGTAGATAAATTCAGTCAATTTAAATAAAATGCTAAATATTGTATAACTAAATTTACAGATATATATATATTTTTTCTAAACAGAGTCATTCTAACATTTAACTAAATAGACTAAATTGTAATATATGATAGCGACCCATCTTCCAAAAATGATAGTACAGTACATATAGTGAGCATGGAGATAATGAACAAAAACTGGACCACTGTACACCAAAACAGTCCACATTCTGTACTACTGGTTAGGTAGCAGGCCCTGAAAGATGCTAATAAACCAAACCTAACCTTTTCTAATTCTTGTAAAGTAATGATATGTACTAAATTAGACCTAAGATGGCATATAGCAAGCTATGATTGCTAATTTAGGCCTATGAAAGATTCAAGTTAGGATGATGGTTAAAAGGTTGCAGTATTTATGCACTATAGTATACCAGTCGTATAAAATGTGGATTTTTAGGTGCAGGTTTATATTTTTGTATACTCCATCCACAATTACTATAGATATTATCATTTCCAAGATGGGTTGGTAATAATATGTATACGTTTAAAAGCAATAAATTGTAATGACTGCATTTCAACCTTTAAATGCAATAAATACAGGGTGTCCCAGAATTAGCCATATACTATACAGTATTTCTATGAAATTGAGCAAATTTTTTGAAAACTAGTGTTTATTGATGTGTATGATGTTTGTGTTATAAATGTGTTTGGGGGCCTGACGGATGATAGGACAGTACTCGGGGTTCATAGTCCTAAGGGTCCGGGTTCAATCCCCAGCTGAAGCAGAAACAAATGGACAGTGTCTTTTATCCTGATGTACCTGTTCACCTAGCAGTAAATAGGTACCTGGGAGTTAGACAGCTGCTACAGGCTACTTCATGGAGATGTGTGTGTATGTGTGTGAAAATTAGGATTAAGAACTTGCCTGAAATGCTAAGCGTGCTAGTGGCTGTACAAGAATGTAAAAACTCTTTTATATTCTGTATATTTATATATATAACAATTTCTAAATTGTTTCATCTCTATTTTATTCCAGAATTGCCTAATAATGAATACACAAGAATGCAACTTTATTCTCACATCCTCATATCAAAGGATTGTGATATACATACTTGTAATGGAACCAGAATAAGATTTACAAGGAAATTTCACAAAATCGGTCCTACAAAGTGATTTGTAACTTGCAAACAAATTTAAAAGAATTGAACCCGTACACAATGAAGCATGAAGAGGATGCCCAAGGACAGAGCGTGGCATTATTGAAGGAGTATGACAATTGTTTGAGGATGAACCAACAACGTCGGTTAGGGAAGCCACTCAAAGATTCAACATATCCAAGACAACAGTTCATAGAATCTTGCATTTGACACTGGTGAAAAAAAAGGCTTATCACTTTCAGGTACTGCATGCCCTAAATGAAAAGAATTACCCAAACTGAGCAGCAAGGTGTGCAGAATTTGTGGATCAAATAAAAATGATGAAGGTTTATTGGATAAAATCTTAATTCAATGATGAGGCGACTTTCCACACGTGTGATCAAATCAATCTACATGTTTGTCGTATTTAGTCCGATGAAAAACCATCATAAGTCATAGAATGGCAGAGACATTCTCCAAAAGTTAACATGTGGCTTGGAATGAATACAGTACTGTACATCCAAAATTTATGGGTCATTCTTCTTTCATGAAGCATCTGTAACAGGTACAGTCTACCTTGATATGCTTCAGCAGTTTATTGAACCACAGCTTCTTGATAATGCTTGTTTCAACAAGATTTTCCACCATGCAATTGTGCAATAATTGTCCGAGAACATCTCAACAGACGCTTCCCAATCGATGGATTGGACGTGGAGGACCTCTACCTTGGCCTCGGTGTTCTCCGGATTTGACACTTCTAGATTTCTTGGCATGGGGGGGTCATAAAAAGAAAGGTTTATTGCCAAAGGATCAATAATTTAGCTAAACCTAACGTACACATTCAGCTGGCCGTGCAGGACATAACTCCTGACATACTTCAAAATGTGTTTTGCAGCGCTAAGGTTAAATTTAAAATAGGCAGGGATATAGACAGAGCATGTGTTGAAAAATCTCAATTAAGATTTGACTTATGATTTATAAATATGTATATCTGTTTTTCAAATAAAATTAGGTAAAAACATGAAATAATGTTAAGTGTTTAATAGATTTGTCCAATTTCACAGAAATAGATAGCTAATTCTGGGAGAGCCTGTATAGCCTAAGTGGCTCTGAATAACACTTCACTTCCCTCTCCCACAGCTGCCTACAACTACACTGGTCACACTGGGTCACTGAACAACACAATCAACACTAATATGTTTTAGTTAATGCTTCTCCTTAGTTTGATATAACAAAAAAAAATATGTAATTAAGTAATATTCAGTGATGCATTATATAACAAAAAATAGAATTAGCAATCGTGTCAGCAATAATATCCTTAATATATGATTCACGATAACAAAAATACTGCAGTAGTTTTTTTAAATATACAGCAAGCTACTGTACTTCAATTTATGTTAAGACTAGCAGAAAATGTGCCAATCTCTTAATAATGAAATAAAAAATATTGGCAAATACAAAATGACATAGATTAATGATTACACTCAACAGTATGATACACAAGAGGCAAGACTACCGAGAAATATCAACTCGGCTGGCCACAAAGCAAAACCTTCCTGGGGATGTCTCAGAATGGCTTTTGATCATGTTCTTAATATGCCTTTGTTGTCTCAGCTTCTCAATCCCAGTTTTCCCAGTCTTCACCCTATGGTAGAACAAAAAATATGTGAGAGATAACAACACAGTACTGTAGATGAAGTACTAAAGATTCATGTATTAAATTTTATATTAAAAATAATGTGCAACATGTTAAACAAATAATTAACTACAATCAAACTTTTGCAATTTAATGGAAACCTCCCATTTCTAAGGGAAAATAAAATTATTCAGTAATAAAGTATACACAAGAGTAAATCAAGACTTCAATATATAATGCTCACCTCCCTCCCTCATTTCTATATGCAAGAAACAGCAGAACATAAGAATGAAGGTAACTGCAGAAGGCCTATTGGCCCATACGAGGCTGCTCCTACTTATATCCACCCAATCTTATTCATGTATGTTTCAAGCGTCTGACCTATGCTTGAAACAATCAAGGGATCCTACTTCTATTATGTTACTCGGTAATCGGTTCCACAAATCAACAACCCTGTTACCGAACCAGTATTTACCCAGGTCTTTTCTAAACCTAAACTTATCCAATTTACAGTATATCCATTGTTTTGTGTTCTGTTTTGTGTTGCTACTTTTAATATCCATTAATGTCCCCTTTGTTATGTCCATTCATCCACTTGTACACCTCTATCATGTTACACCTAATTCTATGTTTTTCTATAGAATGTAATTTAAGCTTTGTCAGTCTTTCTTCGTATGACAGGTTTCTAATTTGGGGGGATTAACTTTGTCATCCTACGCTGGACGCGTTCTAGTGAATTTATATCCATTCTATAGTATGGTGACCAAAACTGAACTGCATAATCTAAATGAGGCCTAACCAGAGCAAGATATAGCTGTGTCTTATTACTAACACTTCATTAAATAAACCCCAGTGTCCTATTTGCCTTATTACAAACATTTATACATTGATTTTTGGTTTTATATTCTTGCTAATCGTAACACCCAAATCCCTTTCGCAATCCGACATCGCGATCTCAACACCATCTAGCTCGTATCTTGTAACACTATCATTACCTAGCCTCAAAACCTTACATTTGTCAGCATTAAACTGCATCTGCCAATCTTCTGACCCTTTCAAAAATCTATTTAGAATGTCTTGAAATGATAGCGAGTCTTTTCCCCTTGTTTATTTCCCTCCCAATTTTTGTATCATTGGCAAATTTGCAAATATTGCTGCTCAAACCTGAATCTAAACCATTTATATGTATTATGAACAACAGAGGTCCCATGACAGAGCCTTGAGGCACTCCACTTACAACATTTTCCCACTCTGACTTAACCCCATTTATACTAACTCTGTTTTCTTTGGTATAGCCATGCCCTAATCCAACTTAATATAGAACCCCCAATACTGAGAGCCTCTATCTTTTTAATCAATCATGTGGCACTGTATCAAAAGCTTTACTAAAGTCAAGGTACACAATGTCACAAACATTACCACTATTAACTACCTCAACTATGTTGGAATAAAATAAAATAAAATTTGTTAAACATGAACAGCCATTAGTAAAACCATGTTATGAATCATTTATCTATGATCTATGTTTTTCAAGATGAAGACGAATGGTATTTGCAATTATCAATTCAAGCAACTTTCCCACAAGAGACGTTAAGCTAATTGGCTGATGGTTTGACACACGTGATCTATCTCCTTTCTTGAAAATTGGTAGCACATTAGCAACCTTCCACAACTCAAATATTGTATTTTTAGTTTTTAATAATACATTTATTTTTAACATGTTCTTTTTTTCTCCAGGCTGGTGCCTCCCAACCCCATGAACATAAGAAAAAGAAACCTGATACAGTATGATTTTGCTTGAAGTTAAACAAGTACAAAACTGTAAATATGTGTAGATGACATCCTTTCGCTTACTATAATGCAAAACTTGCCTAGTCAGGGGCTTCCTTTCTAACATATTAGGATATTTGCACACACTGGCAACCATAATAATTCTGATTTCACCAGTTTCATTCAGATATCTGCTTCCCCTGGATATGTTCCGCTAGAACTCTACCAAGATTCACTTTTGTAACCCTATTAGTTATTAATAGAAAAGGGGGGAATGTTTAATATACAGATTGAAACACATGGAGATAGGATTACTTAGTAACAATGGACTAGTTATTTTATAAAATATAAAGCTCACCTTAGGGTCATCAGACTTCTCGGTCCTATTGCTTTTATTGGACGAGGTAGAAGCATGAGAATTTCCAGCATCATTGGCATCAACCTTTTCCCACTCATCTTCATTGCTCTCTACAATAACAGATAATCATTTTATTCTAAATACAGTTTTATTCAACATGACAATTTCAGCCAAGGAAAATAAAAAATGGCCAAATAAAAGGCAATAAATAACTTTTACTGAACTCAGGGTAGATCATTCAGAGCAGCGATTATAAGGCTTATTAAAATGTTAGAACAATGCAGCAAATATATGTAAAGAATCCATTGTATAGATTAGAGAATCTAAATATGCATAAAACCTAAACAATGCCCCCTACAGTTAATTTTTACAGTAAATCAAAATACTGGAATGTGTCTATTAATAAATAGTTATATGAAAAATGATAATAAAACCACATGAAAGCCAGATTATACATGCAATGAAGAAAATAAGGAACCACAGACCAGAAACATTTCCTCGAAGGAAACCAAATGCCACATGCATATTTAATATCTGAAAGACAAAATATTCATTAACATTATTACTTCTGGTAAACAATCAAATTACTGTACATGTACTTGTATTATTGCTATCAGTTATCTTGGATATGTGCAATCCAATATGATGTTTAAACTGTTATGCAACTGCAGCAGTTGCTAACTTATAGATAATAAATCTGTTTATGCCTATGTTAGCAGCATTTATGTTTACTTATCAGTGCCTATGTGGGAAGGAGATCTACCAACTTATGCCCCAACTCCTAGCCATTTATATCTGGCATGCCAATCACCTCTCTCAACATTAATGTTTTCATCATATCTCTTTAAAATTGTGGATGGAACAAGCTTCAACAACCTCTTCCTTCAGTGCATTCCACTTGCTGACTACCTATAAAGGGAATGAGAACTTCCTTACATCTCTCTGACTCAACTGCGTGACTAGCTTTGACCGATGTCCCCTCGTCTTACATCTCACTATAGGCTTCTTTTATCTATTCCCCCTCAAGATCTTGTGTATATTTATTATATCCCTTCTGTTTATTCTCTCCTCTAAGGTTGTGAAGGGAGTTCTCTCAATCTGGCCTCATAACCAAGGCCTCTCAATTCTGGTACTAATCTGGTTCCAAACCTCAGAACTTTCTCGTTTGTTTATGCTTCATAAGGTATGGGTTCCATGCTGGAATTACATACTCAAGCAATGGTCTTACATAGGAAGCATGTATGGACTTGAAAACCTCCTTGTTTAGATTCTTAAATACAGTAATGTTCTTATGTTTGCTAACTTTCCATATGCTGCTCATGTTATCCTGTTGACATGAGCTTCTGGTAGTAGCATTTGAATTATGTCTACTCCCAGGTCATTTTCTCTTATTGCTTCTTGTACAGTAGAACCTCGAGTGACAAGCGCCTCAATTGGCGAGCAATTTGGGTAACGAGTGCCCCGATTGCCGACAATTCATCTCGTTTGGTGAGTGCTTGTTTGAACACCACCACCACCACATGGTCGGGTCACGCTGCTTCTCGCACATTCTCGGACGCCTCCGACGATGCAAATAAATATTTTTTTGTTTTGTTTAAAGATGCTAATGATGCTGGGATGTAAAGGGATGACTGCTGTGATGTTGCAAAGCATTGACTTTTTTGTAGAAAAAAAAATTAATTTAAAAAACAAAGAACAAATGTCAAAAAGGTTTGTTCAGTGTTTGTCAGGTAGGCTGCTCCATATTTCTTAAAAAAAAAAAAAAAAAAAAAAAAAAAAAAATTAAAAACTGAACAAATGTCAAAAAGGTTCATTCGGTATTCGGCAGGTAGGCTGCTCCATGTTTCTTAAAACAAAAAAATGAAAATTTGAAAAATGAATAAATGCCATATAGGTTCATTCAGTGTTTGTTGGGTAGGCTGCTCCATTATTGAGAAATAAATGAAAAATACAAAACAAATGGAACACATTTGAAACAAAGAAAGATTGTCATAATGGAGCAGCCTACCCGACAAACACTGAACGAACCTATATGGCATTTGTCCGATTTTCAAATTGTTTCAACATTTTTTTTCTTTTAAGAAACATGGAGCAGCCTACCTGCCAAACACCGAACAAACCTTTTTGACATTTGTTTTCTTTTTCAAAATTTTTCATTTTTTTTTTTTTTTTTTAAACCTGGAGCAGCCTAACTGACAAACATCGAACGAACCCTTTGCTAAAAAATAAATGAAAAACAAAAATTTAATAAATTTGAAGAAAGAAAAATGTCATAAAGGTTTGTTCAGTGTATGTAAGGTACGCTGCTCCATTATTGAAAACATTGAATATCGTACTGTATTGATGTTTTTCGGTAGTAGAACGGATTAATTCGATTTCCATTATTTTCAATGGGGAAATTCGTTTTGAAAGACGAGCGCTTCACATAACGAGCTCTGTGCCAGAACAGATTAAATTCGTTATTCGAGGTTCCACTGTAATTGCCTTCCCCTTATTGTATAGTTAAATGCAGATCTTCTGTCTCCCTTACCTATTTTCATTACTTTAAACTTATTTGGATTGAATTCCAGCAGCGATTTATCTGGCCTCTCCTGACATCTGTTAAGGTCTCCTTGCAGCACCCTACAGTCTTCTTCAGTTCTTACTCTTCTCATTAACTTTGCAACATCTGCAAACTTCGAAATGCACGAGCTCACTCCCTCTGAGATAATTTGTATAAATTAAATAGAGGAATGGTCTTAGGACAGAGCCCTGTGGAACACCACTTTCCACTCCTCTTCAGGCAGACATATCCTATCTATGACCCTTTGTTTCCTGTCTGTCAAGCCCTCCCATACACTGTTCAGTGCCTTTCCTGTTATCTCCACTTGTTTCTCCTCTTCTTTATTAGTCTTTTTTATGAGGAACTGTGAGGAACTTATGCAGAGGAGCTACCTTTCTGGTAGTCTAGAAAGATGCAGTCTACACATCTTTTCTTTTCTTGTCTTGTCTTATTTTGGAGACCCTATCATAAAATTCAATACAGTTTGTCAAGCATGATTTTCCCTCTAACATAACTCTGAAGTCGAGTTATGTTAGATCTTGTGATTAAAATAACTTTTACAGGAATTAAATTTTACACTCCATAACTCTTTGTCCATGAAGAAACAGCTCTATTGTTGTTTTGTTTTTGCATATACAGTACTGCATATTGTTTTGTATATATAAAGAATAAATATATATTTTAGAATATAATTTCTACCACACCATCACCATCATTTGTACTGTTCCAATTAATAATTAGTTTAAAAAATACTGCAATTGTTGAATCCTTGTAACTACTTGGTTCTGTATTATCCAATTCTCTCCCTATTTTCATAATCTCATATACTTTTTATATATAATTTTTCTCAGCTACAGCATGTAAGAATGATTCATATCCAATATGTTGAAAGAGAATTCTTACAAGAACCAGGCAAGGCATTAATGACCTAGAAATATGTAAGTACAGTACACTTTACAATTGGTTGGGAAATCAAAAAAACATCAATAGGCTGAATGCACAGAAAACAAGCATAAAAATCAAGCAAGAAAAAATCAATACAAAGCTGCAAGGTTTTGATAGATGTGATGTTCCAAAACCCAATACCAAAGCTTAGCATAGACAGCAGAAAAAAAAATTGCATAATAAAGCCAGAACTTGATATGGTGTAAATACTGAGTACTTTATGTATTTACTTTCCTGTCAAACTTTTCAATTTACTAATACAGTAGCTATTATTTGAAGTTCTGATGCATGATGAAGAATATTACTAAATTTAATTTACTTTAGAGCAGATGAAAAGTATTTTTTTTTGTGGATGCACAACTGATAATCTTTATTCAAGATTCTTTAACGTACTTTAAAGGCAAGACCATGGATGCCTTAAAAGAGCAAAATAATAAATTGTTATATTACATAATTCTCGCATATTAATTATGATAACCATATACTGTACATTGCAGGAGTTAGTGCGTGAATGTAACTGATTTGAAATGCCTATCATGACCTAAATCATGGTTACAAAACATCCCATTTGAGGTAAAATAGAAATGCATTATGGAACTTGAGCTCTGGTTCAAGAAGGGGAGCAGGTGCACCACTCAGTTATGCATCATGAGGACTGGCAACATGGATTTACCTGTTGATGAAGGCGAGGGCTTACTGGTGGTATCTGAAGTTTTGCTTAAATCCACTTTGAGCTCTTGCAATAGATCTGTGGATGTACTACTAGAATTTGTTTTTGAACTATTTTTGGATGAAATTGCATCTTTCTCTGTTACTGCATTTATAACTTTGTCTGTCAATTCAGATTTATCAGTCGAGTCCTTTTGTTTCCCTTCACTCTCAGGAATTTTCTTCCCTTTCTCTTCACACTCTCGTTGGTAGTCCTCAAGAAGTTGGGCTTGCATCTCTTCAGGAATTTCTGCATCTCCTCCAAAGTCCTCATCTGCCAGGGGGTGGGAGCACCAGCATACCAACTACTGTTACTATGCCTGCTACATTTACCTTACAAATACTATACATTACCACAGCTACTTAATATGACCAACATACAAATAGGCAACAAATACCAAAGCCATATGCTTTTATAGTGCAAAGAAATAAATCAAATAAAAAATATATAGATGCCTACTAATACAGCTAATGTGAACATTGCACTTATCCAATGTAAATATTTCAGCAATTAGCATCCTAATTAGATAAGCTCAGTATTGTCTCACTAATAATTTTCCGTTTACTGCATAGTATAAGGCTTTCAGCAAAAGCTGTGAAAAAATATGGCAGGCCTTCATTGATAAGTAAGTAATTATCAAAAGAAGGCACCAAACCGGGAAGGCTATGTAGCACCATCAAATACGCAAAATAATCAGAGGGCGCTAAATATCACCAAGGATGCCAATACGAGAACAAAAACGCATAAGGCGAACGATATCAAAAGTATCCGGGCCTTCATTGATAATATCTAGTGGATAACTTAAGTAAGATTTTTCAAGAATGCTCACAAATCTTTGTGTGTATATCTCCCGACTCCTACTCAAAAGAAAAAGCAATGCTATGAAAGAAATCTTGTCAAAATTAATGTTTCTCTTATGACATCCACAAATGGCAGAATTTTTGTCTCTATGAAAACTCACTGAGGTTTCCCACAAGTAGTCTGACACATCTTTAGCTCTAGTCTTGCAGGGTCTGCTGTCTTCATTTTTGTAACCTCATTTAGTACTTGGAGAAAAAATCAAATTTTTCACTTTACATATCTTTGGATTTTATAATTTGCAAACATTTTAAGTAGACAATTGCTTCAGTTAATTGAAAACCAAATTATATATTTACCATTAATGAAATAAAATATTTTGTCTACATGTCCAGTATTCAGGTAAAATATAATCAGCATAGCAAGGAGCATCTTTAATATTATCAGGAGCATCAGAAAACCAGCATTGAATGTAATGAAATGCCATTTTCTGGGCGAGCCCCAGAGGCTCCCTGGAGATATAGGACTGATATAAGCTATATTAGTCTGGGGCTTCAGTCAATGGAGTCCTGCCTACCTGGGACCAGAGCCAGAACCTAGCCCCATTCAGAGAGGCACAGGGAGCAACAGCTTAAGGAGACCCCCCCCCCTGTATTTGGGGATATTCCCTGTCTGCCATCGACTGGGGTTAGGCACCCAGAAAGGTAGGCATCTCAAAACAAACCCCACATGGTAGGAAATTGCAAAAACCCAAGACCGAACAGAGAAACAGAACTCCCTCAAAGGAAAACAAAGGAAACAAGCAAACAAGCAATCGTCACTCGCTGCTGCCGTGCCGCTTGTCTCGCAGCCCTCCCCTCCCCGGGAGGGGGAAGGTGGAGCCCCGGACCTACATGCTGACTACTCACACCACAGTTCGGAGGCTGAACATCAAAAATAAAACCGCGGACCAGAGGGAGGAAGGGTGCCATGTAGCCTCCAGGGGCTCACCCCAAAAATGGCATTTCATTACATTCAGGTTTTCTGTGGGAAGCCCCTTCAGCTCCCTGGAGCTGAAAGGGGCTAACCAAAGTAAAAGAGGGACTTACTCAGGAGGCGGCCGCACCACGTGGAACAATTCGAAGACAAGACAACTGGCTGTAAACTGCGACCCAAAGCCACACATTAACGACTGGAACCAGGAATATTTACCGATTAACGGATGCCCAGGACCCTGTTCAGCCTCTAAAACCCCCATGCCTGAAGTCAGCCCAGGATATGTTGCCAAACACAGCAGTCAAGGCAGCACACTTACAAACGTCGTGGGCACGAGGGTAGACCGCAGGCTGGCTAGACTTAATAATCCTGCAGATGAACTGATAGACCCGAGCCCTGGAACAGGGAAAATAGAAATCAAATAAACCCAAAGTGCGACCACAGCCCCAGCGGCCAAGGTGCACAGGTAACAACACAGAGCTGCAACCGGATACAACACATAATGCACTCCTGGCCTGACCAACCAAGCATCAATAACCCACGGACTCCTCTGAAAGCCCACTGTCTCATTCTTCGCCAGAAAAGGAGACGGCTGCAACCGAACAAAATGTCCACCAGGACCAAAAAGAGTAGAAACCTCTGCGCTAGAGGAGGGCATGAAGCTCACCGACCTGACCTTCAAAGGCCAATGCCAACAGAAACAGAGCCTTCTGGAAGTAACTGAAGAGGCCACCATAAACCAAGTAGAAGAGAAAAGAGATCACCCTGGACCATGTCGGCTCAGGTGGTACATGAGCAGACCGGAGGTGAAACAAAGCATGAGAAAGTTTATGGAACGCAAGCTGGAGCAGCTCCGCCAGCGCCACACGATACGAGAGAAAATGGTGAAAAGACTGCCAAGACACCTTATACTGTCGCCGAGACGAGAACTGCAGCTGGGACACCATGTGAGAAGCCACCTGATCACCATTCAAGTGGCGATACATACACGTTAAAAAGACCAGACGCGACAAGCGAAGGAGTAGATCGAACTAGCTATGTACTGGACTGGCCCAATCTGCTGGAAGAGGCGGAGTCGAGGAAAACTCCGCGGGTTCGGACACTGAGCAAGCAGCGCCTGAAACCAAGGCCGAGCTGGACACCATGAGGCTAAAAGGGTGACTTTCCCACGAGAAGACTTCAACCGAGCCAGAACCTGAGGCAACAGCTGGATCGAGGGGAAGAGGTACAGGGAACCCCACCTTGACCAGTCCTGCCGAAGAGCGTCTAATGTGACGGCTCCGCAGTCAGGGAAGGGCGCCACAGATCTCAAGAGATGCCGGAACCACGCTGAAGCGAAGAGTTCAACCTCCCGGGCCCTGTGCGACCGGCCGAGCTAACTGAAGGAGTCGGTGTCGACAGTCCATTCCGTGGACAGGGAAAGAAATTGGCACAGGCTGTCTGCCAGGATATTGGACAAGACACACTCCGGATGTGAACTGCACACACGTCTGCCAGGACATTGGACACACCCCGGATGTAAACTGCATGGAGAGCTAAACCCTGAGAACCAGCAGACGAGTCACTTGAAGAGACCAGCCTCAAAGAACCAAGGGGCGAAGGGAACCCCCCGTGGTTCAGACAACGAACCACCGGAGTCCAAAAGGAGCCTAACGTAGAGCCCCAAGCGACCCCCCCCCCCATCCCACAGCAAAAGCCAGACCATCACAAACTTCTGCACCGCACTATGAGCCCTACGGAAAAATGGAGCCCACCGCCCCAGATCAGCCTAGTGAGCACAGGTCATAAAACCCCAGCCAAGAGACAAGGCATCCAGGAACACAATGAGCGAGGGCCCGGGGAGTCACCCAGGCACCGAACCCTGAAAATACCGAAGAAGAAGCTGGCGATGCAGTAACCAACGCCAGGACCACTGGGTTCGAACCCAGTGGTTATGAGAGAGGCAGATGGGATGCCCCCGAAAGAACCAAAACATGCGCCAAAGCCCAACCCAACAAGTAAACCAGAACAGCGAAGTGCAGACTCCCACACGATCGACCGCCGAGTCACCCAGGTCCCCCCCAGGAACAGCAGAAGGCGAGATTGCAGCTGCTGCAACGCCGCAGGAGAGAAAGAGAGGGTTCGAACCTGAGACGAAACCAGATGCGACTTCCCCCAGGTCACCAGGAATCTGAACCTGGCAAGCTGGGAAAGAACCACCCTTCTGGCGAGCAGACAAGCAGATTGGCTTAAAGTCGACACCAACCAGTCCTCGAGGAAGGCCAAAAAGGAGACAACGAAAACAAAAAGTTCGCCGCCCCACCACAAAACCTAACTAGTCCCTGAACTCCAGGATGAAGTGGGACGTGCCAATACACATCACAGAGGGCCAGAGACACCCTACACCAACCCGGCACCAAAAGAAGCCAGATCTGGAACAGAGAGGTCATCTGAAAAGATGGGCAAAGAATCCAGAGGTGCAGATGAGACCAGTCCAGAAGAACTGAAGATCCACACAGACCCATGAAGACACAAGAACAAGCGGGAAACCCACCTGAGGGATGAGGTCATTCCAACCACGCCCAGGTGCACCCACTCCAAGATGACCAAACGGGGCACAGGGCCCACCCTTCATCCCCATGCCTCCAAGAGGAGGAAGAGCCACCCAACGCCACCACAGGCCAGAAGACATGACCCAAAATGCCCACGAAGCGTGGAACCAAGCGTGGGACCAAGCATGGGCAAACAGAGCCAGCCTCACCCCCTTTGCCCCGTCAACAGGGCAACCTGCGAAGGGGCTGTTGCCCCCCCCCCCTCCGAGAATCCGACCAGCGAGCAATACAGTGACCAGGGAAAAAAGGCCCCAGAGGAGGCACCAGCATAGAGGCAGATAACAAAGGCCCACCTCGACTAGCAGAACCTGGAGCCCCTGGCATAGCCACCAAAACCAGTGCCAAGCCCCAAGAAAAATCGTCAGCAAGCCAGGAACCCCATAATGTACCCAAAATGGGGACAAGGACTCGAGCACAAAAGAGGCCAGGTCAAGCGGGGCAAATTCCGAGTCGTATAGGAGGAAAACATTAAGGGCCTCCCAAATCTCCACAGGGAAAATCTGAGAGGAAGAAAAATCTCCGGGAAACGCAACCAAAGAACACAAAGGAACTCGGACACGAACCCGGGGGGAAGCCCAAACCACCACATTTGCCGGCGGAAAATAGACCATGGAAAGGAAAGGCCAGACACATGACTGACAAAACCTCTGGCAAAAAACAGGCAAAAAAAAAAGAACCGGAAACTGAGCGCCGAAGGTGTGGGAACAAGTGTAGCATACAGGGCACAGATACTGGGATCAAAACCAGGGCCCAGAACTCACACACAGAAAACACAAGACCGGGTGAAAAGAAACACCCAAACATTCCTCGAGGAACAAACAGGGCAGGAAGGCCCTAAAGAAAGAACAAAACCAAGAGATGGCAATGGGAGGATAAAAAACTCCCGACAGAGGTGAAAAATACCCCCAA